TTTGAGCCAAAAACAATGGAGTTGATTGTCACAACTTACCAGGTAATATGGTGAAAAAATTTGTTTATCTTGTTTCCTTTATTTCACTAATATTAAGCTAGATAGTTGGGTTTTCTATTACTAACACTAAGAAATTTGTGGTGCATATAGGCCTCTGCCTTGCTGCTATTCAATTCTTCCGATAGACTGAGTTATTCAGAGATCATGACTCAGTTAAACTTGTCTGATGATGATGTTGTTAGGCTTCTGCACTCATTGTCATGTGCGAAGTATAAAATTCTTAACAAGGAGCCAAACACAAAAACTATTTCTCCCACTGATTACTTTGAGTTCAACGCCAAGTTCACTGACAAAATGCGAAGGATCAAAGTAAAGTTCTCTTTCTTTATCTTATTTAAATACACATTTCTTTATATCAGCTGACATATTCCCTTGTGTTTAACTTGAAGATTCCTCTACCTCCGGTGGATGAGAAGAAGAAAGTAATTGAAGATGTTGACAAGGATAGACGGTATGCCATTGATGCCTCCATAGTCCGGATAATGAAGAGCCGCAAGGTCTTGGGCCATCAACAGTTGGTTATGGAATGTGTTGAGCAGTTGGGGCGCATGTTCAAGGTTCAAATAGCACTCTCTCGTATATGATGTATTTACATCTAACTAATGGACACTTACATGCTTTATGTTGTGGTGTTAAATAAAATGTTTTTTGCAGCCTGACTTCAAGGCAATTAAAAAGCGGATTGAAGATCTGATAACACGAGACTATCTCGAGAGGGACAAGGATAATCCTAATATGTTCCGGTACTTGGCATGATGTGGCTTAGTTCATCATCCAAATGAAGTGATGACTGTTGTTGCTGCACAGAGCACTGAAAAATGTCCTGGTGTTAGAAGCAGCACAAGCAATACTAAGATGCGATCAAGTTACCACTTCTTTTGGTGCCACGGACCTGAGATGTTATGCTTGTACATTTGCACTTGGATCCAGGGAAACCAACCTCTATGAGCTGTAAAATCATGATGTAGAAATTGTAATTTGTTCCATAATGTGGTTCTGCAGGGGCACGGACCATTTGTATCTTTTATCCTGTAACTGCTAGCTCATTCTGCGACTGAGTCAATCTGCGAATGCTTGTTTTGTTATTTTTTATCCTTTCTTTTTTCTCAACCTTTGGATGAAAACGTGTAATTCAGTTTTATTAGAATATTTGATAACTATTAGCAGTTTGGTCTCTCTGAATGTAAAACCTTGGCCTGGTGTTTTAAGAATTTCTCTTAATGTTCTATTTCATAGTTTTCATTTCTTTTGTACACCAGCCATAGGATGGAAGGCCCTCCTCCAACACAAGGGGCTCTATTTGAATCTAATAGTTAGTGTTTCTCAGTCCAAAACAGTTTTAATTACAAAACACTTCTTTTGTGTTTTTTTTTAATGCGTCCTTTTATTTACATAGAAAGAAATTCATTTACTTGAATCTGAAATCTCTTGTAAGCTTTTTGCTTGTCCCTTGTTTAGTTTAACAAAGTATTCATTTACTTGAACGAATGAATGCAATTTTTGTGTAGCTTACTAGCTTTCATTTATTTATGGTGATTGCATCTAGATAAAAAATCAAATTGTTGTCCTCATCATTACCTAATTGTTTTCATTTTGTTAGAAGCAATGTTGGTAGCTGATCCTTCTTTTAATTTAATAGTTAAATAAAATAACTAAGGGTTTATCTAATTTATACTATAAAGACAATGTATTAATTACATTTAAAGATAATGCATTAATTATAATTATTTATATTTAATCTTTAAAGAAAATCATAAAAGTTGATCCTATATTTATCCCTAATACCACAAATATACTTTTTAATTAAAGGGTTAATAAAATTAAAATTACTTTTTAATTTTTTAATACAAATTAATACTAAGAAGAAGTGAAACACAACAATAAATGCACCATTAAAGAAATTTTCAATAACTAAACAGATATGGAATTCTAAAAATTTACACAATTGCTGCCAAATTTTCCTAAATTTTGCCATCTCAAGATTGTATTAGTGTTACAAAGTATTTACATCTTATAATGCTTAAAATATATAAAATGTTAGTTAGAATCTAAATATAATTTTTTGGTGAGAAATGTGTTTTGAGAAAACAATACTAAACAAAGATGTTAATATGATATGTTTGCTTATTGTTTTTCTTGAAATATTTTTGCCAAACTTTAAAAAACTAATTTATCATCCTAGCAATCGTACAAAATGGTGCTAGGAATCCATAAAGGAATCGAGTGTTTTAGTCCAACTCATATTTATATTAGTTTCCTCTAATATCCTACCATTAAATGAATAGAAACAATATACCAACCTAGATGACATTGCATTTTTTGCTATAATAATATCATAAATTTAGGGGAAAAAAAATAAGAATTTATATATCGTCCAACTTAAAATTTAATAAAAAAATGTCACATATGTTATCAACACTACTGTCCCAAATCATGTGCTCTTCATTTGTTGTGTTGTCCATCTAAATTGCATTCTTACAACTAAAATCCTTTCACAAAATAACGTGAAACAAAATCAAATCTTTTTATCATGTGTTTTTTTATTTGTTAACTTTAAAGAAAAAAAATTACTAAAAAACGAAGTTAAGTTTTTATTTAATTTTAATAAATTTTTAATTTTTTTCATTTAAAAGAGTTTAAAGTAGTCAGCTATATAGATAATTTACCACTTTTTTCTTCCAAAATGCTTCTATTATGATGTTTTAGAAAAAAAAAATGGAAGTGCTGTACTGAACATGATAAGAGAGAGAGAGAGAGTCTGTTTGTAGGAAAAGAAATTAGGACCTAATTAAAATATTAATATTGTTCAGGGACCATACTAAAAAGTTAACCCATTTTGGTGATGGCTCTACAGTCTACACAGACAAATTATCAAAAATATAAAAAAGACTGAGTCCTAAACATAGTATTTTTGTCCGTCCAGTAGAAAAAAAATATTTTCCTCTTTTTACTAATCACTTTTTAAAGAATTTTTTGGTGCACTTTTTTAGTAAAATCTCAACCGTTGGAATTTTCCTTTTTTTTTCTTTTTTTTGATATGGATGATAAAAGTGTCCCCAAATCAATTTTCTTAGTGCAATTGTAGGGATACACCGGACATCAACCTGTGCTTTAAAAAAAAAAATTGGGTAAACGTTAAAACTTGGCCAATAAGAAAAACTTTATTTATTAATAAATTCAAATTATCTCAACCATTAGGGTTATAAAATTAATTACTGATTTATTACTTATAAATAAGAATAAGAATCAAAATAGGAATAGAAATAGGAATAGAAATAGGAAATACAGTAGAAAACGAAGTATTTTTTCCGAAGTGTCATCTATATATAAGAAGAAAGCAAGGCCAGAGACATGACATGATTTTAACGATTAAAAGACTTTCTTTTGATCAAGATCAAAAAATTTATAATTAGTACTAATACTAACCTGTTGTTATTGTTCCTTCTACTATTTTTTAGTGCGTTTATTATTTGTCTCACAAATTCTAGATTTTTGTAACCATGTTTAGTATGGCTTCACTGTGTATGGATTTGATCAGTGAAATATTGTTCCTGTTACCTGTGAAGAGTCTGCTACGGTTCAGAAGTGTATCAAAATCATGGTGTTCCTTGCTAAGTGATCCATATTTTGTGAAATCCCATTTAGAGTGTATCAAAAGTGATTTCAATCTTGTTTTCGAACTTGTTAAATACAACCAGTGGCCATTCCATAAGGAGCTTAGGTTGCAGGGTATGGATTCTCTTAATTTTCTACCAAATGTCTATGATTACCCTTTTCATAAGACCCATGATAATGTTGTTTTAAGAGGCTCATGTAATGGGTTGATTTGCTTTACCAATTCTGAATATAACATTGTTGTGGGGAACATGTTGATCAATGATTACCATGTTAGGGAAGTTCCACCTGATAGAGAGTTTTTGAATGGGGAGAAAATCAGAGTCACATATGGATTTGGTTATGATTCAATCCATGATGATTATAAAGTGGTGAGAATCCTTTCCCGTTCTCCTCAGGATTCCAGTTGTTGCAATATGTATGAAGTACTGGTTTATAGCCTAAGGTATGATAGGTGGAGTGAAATTGGAATTGGAAATACCCTTGCACCTTCAGTTACCCTTTATGGTGGACTGGACCCTCCAAATGGAGTGTTTCTTTGCACTGCTCTACATTGGTTGGCAGAATCACGTCTGCAGGATGGCAGGAGATACTATTTTATCCTTGCATTTGAACTTTCAGCCGAGTATATTCACACAATACCATTACCTTGTGACATTCAAGTAGAGCAAGGAGGACGTTGCCTCATAATGAGTTCTCTTGGAGGTTGCCTTTGTGTAACAAGTAAAGAGAGTTTAGGTGTTAGAATATGGGTGATGAGGAATTACATGGCGGAGTCATCCTGGACTAAACTATTTCTTATCTCAAATGTGTCATTCTGTGAGGTTCTGAAGCCTCTAGGCTTTTCAAGTAGAGGTGATAAAGTTCTGTTTCAGAGCAAATCTAAAAAACTCTGTTGGTATGATTCAGAAAAACAAGAATTTCAGAATATGAAGGTTGATGGTATGAATACAGCAGAACTTTTTTTGAGTTCCATGGTTTCAGTAAGTGCTTACAAGGCAACACGGCAGGGAGTGCAACATCAAGGACTAAAAAAAGATAAGCTTTTAACATGTCATTTACCAATTCCGATTTTTAGCTGCTAGGCTTACATAGTTTTTCTGCTGGCAAGAATATGACCATAGGTGCTAATGATGGTAGTCCTTTTTTTTTTCCTTTTTTTTTTAAGGCTTCTGAAATTTTCATACTTGCAATTAGTTTAGCATTTGAATCTTTGTGTTTATTTAATTTTTTATTCAAATCCTTTGCTGCCTAGTTTGAAACTTTAGATTGTGACAATTTTTTGAGTCAGAAACCTGATTAGTTGTTACTTACAAGGGCCAATAGGAAAAGGTTCAAAATCAATGGGAGGTTCAAAAACTTCGTTGGGATGATAGTGCAAACACTATTGCTGACAAAACCACTGATTTGAATACGGAGATTCCTTCCATCCCTCAAAAGCTCAGATTTTTTTCTGTGTTTTTTATTGGATATACCAGCAAGTTCTACTGTTTTTTCATCTTTATCACGAGTTGTCAAAGGTTGTAACAAAATTGGAATCAGGAACTTGATCATTGGAAGACATGTAATGAATGTGGGGGCCTATATGATGAAAAATGAACGGTTCTTTTGGCATTCTCAACTCGAAAAGACCAGCGCATTGCTTCCAGGAACCGCCAACTTGTCTTCTCCTTTGCTTTGTTATATAATTATCCTTCGCAAATGGTGCTGCCATTTTCTACTAAATAATTTTATAATATTGTATTGACATATGCAAATCACAAAGTCTCCCCAAGCCTGAATTATGGGGTCTCATCTGCTGATATCACATTCCTCAAAATCCCCCCACTTAGTTTGTTGAAAGTGAGAGTTTGCGAAGAGGGGAAGTATAGTTAGGACTTAGGGGAATGGCACATGCTTGAGAGTTGAGAGGGTCAAGGCCTAATTTGTTGTGTTCGTGAAGTAGGTCTAGCCGCTCATTAATCATGTCCTTGTATCTGTTGATTTGTGATGCTCTTATATACCCTTTAATTAGATTCAACAATTTTAGATATCAATTGATTCTGAAGTGACTTTGTATACTGTCTTTTTCTTACTTAGAACCTCATCAACTGACTTGGCACCAAAAATTGTCTTTGGACTTTTCTGGCTTGTTGTAAGAGAATAACTGAGGAAGATCTCTTGTTAAAAACATCTGTGCGTGCTAGTGATTGACAACCACTATGGAAATTTATCACCACCTGAATAATAATAGCAAGAAAACATTTGTTCTCAACTCTCTATCAGGGAAGAAATTTTATGTCCATGAGTTCCATGAAAATTTGCCTGTATGGCAAGGCCGGATTAAGCATATTTACCTTCAAGCAATTGAAAGTTTGCTTGTCTCTTTTACAAACTTAAGCATCAATTTGCATAAGTTGTTTCCATTTTACACATATTCCTATCTGTAAAATATATTACGAGTTTCATTAAATAAAATATCGAGAATGATTCTCATTTCTTCCCCTTATAAATTTTATGGTCCACAGGAAAACAATGGGTAATGATTGTTTTTTTGATTTTCCCATGGGCTGGGGGATTGATGGAAAAGAAGATATTGTATTTCAATGATTTTTTTTTTTGTTTTATTCCAAAAGTTATTTCATAAAATAGAACGTAATTTATTTTTGGTTAAATATTAATTTTGGTCTCTTAACTTTTAAATTTTACATAATTTTCATCTTTTAATTTTTTATGCACTTTTTTAATCCCTTAATTTTAAGATTTTATACAATTTTCATCCCTTAATTTTTATGCACTTTTTTTATCCCTTAATTATGAAAAATATACTTTTTTAGTTCTTCTATCAATTAACTTGTTAAATCTATCTAAACCTATACATTTTTAGTTCATGCACATTTTTCATCCCTCAATTTAAAATTGAGAAACTAAAAATATGCAAATTTAGATAAATTTAACGGGTTAACTGATAAAAAAATTTAAAAAGTACATTTTTCATAATTAAAGGATAAAAAAAGTGTACAAAAAAATTAAAAGGTGAAAATTATGTAAGATCTTAAAATTGAGGGACTAAAATTAACATTTAACCTTTATTTTTTACTCTCTGCACTAATTAGGCAGCGTCATCATTCCTTTGCTAGTTGAGCCTTTTAGCCTTGTTCAACTCAGGATATCATTGCAGTTCTGTAGATGATTATTAATATGGGCTTATGGTGAAATATTATTTTTCCTATAGAACATTCCCACTTCTCTGATTTTTACTCACATTTGCTGGATATTAGCTATTGGTTTCCTTTATTAACCTAAGATCTTATGTCATGAATGTATGAACTCTGGTTTATGCTCTACTTTTTCTTCGCACTCACCAGCCATTTCAGCATTGAATCATCAGAAACCTATAACAAGTTGCTTGGTTAGTGCTTTCCACAAACCTACGGCATTGAGCTGAAAAACATGCGTAAAATAATGTGTGGGCTCTCCCCTCCATTCCTCCACTAAGGAAAAGAGCTTTCTTTCCCTTTAACGATGGAAAATCGATGATTTTGTCCATTTTCCGTTTGATTCTTTCTCAAACAGTTGGATGTTACTGGTCTTGAACTCCCCCGTATGATTGGGTGCTTCTTTCCTTACTAGAATCTAATAGAGAAAACAGTAAAAGTGACGATTCCTTCTGTTTAAGTTATTGCTTTCTGTTCTGCTTACCGTCGCTTAGTTAACAAAGTCATCATCACAGCAGACAAACACAATTTGACAGGAAAACTATACAAAGTTATAAACACAAGACCCCACAAGATTCCATTACATTTGCACAGTACATTACAGTCCATTTGAATGATACCCGCTTTGACACACAACACCCAACTTGTGTTTGGTCTTATATTCTAAACACAAGACTAAAGATCTGAATTCTGACATTTGGATGATACTTTTTCATCTATGTTATTTGCAGGACTTTAATTATGGGTACTCTTGGTGGGGAACAGGGTGGAGCCCTTTGGAAGAAGAGTTCTTGTTTGGAATCTTTGCAAACTCCAGGGTTTTCTTGCCCTGCAGCTTGTTGGCTACGTAATGTTTGTTGTACTCTCCATGATTGTATCTTCTGAATTTGCATGGATTGTTCTCATCCACCAGTTCTGGCATTGGACCAAGCTCTATTTCATAGTTTGGTGCATAAAAAGTGACAATGGAGAGGCGGTCATTTTCCCTGTGAGTAACTGCTCTATGCTCCACACTTTTGTATCTTCCATTTGTTAGAACCTGTGTGAAAAGAATTCAGGAAGACCAAACAATCTTAAGAAAAGAAAAACGTTAATTATAGTTCAGGTTTCTTACTTCTATAGTGTCACCAATGTTGATTACTAGTGCATTTGGGATAGGCTGGACAGGCACCCATGTGTTTTCTCTTAGGATTTGGAGTCCCACTGAGCTGCCCTTCCCCTGCTGCAACACTGTAAGGGCACTTCCATCTGAGTGTGGACTGAGGCCTAAAACAAGGTCAGGTCTAGAACATGGCGGGTAGTAGTTCATCCTCACAGCCTGCACAGCTGTGCCAAACATTTCTTCAAATACATCCCCTTTCAAGCCAAGGCTCATGGCTACATATTTCAGTAGATTCTTGCAGAGTTTCCTTATTTCTCTTGAATAAATCTCCACAGTTTCACTGAAGAATGAAAAAATTGCATTTAGTCAAATAAAAAGACTGCTTTATACCTTGAGTTACAAGTTTGGTAGCATAATTACCTGAAGGCAGCTGGTTTTTTAGGCCATAGTTTTGGGTTCCTAATGCAGTGAGGCTCCACCCCAAGAGCAAACATGTTGCACCAGTCCAATTTCTGGTCCTCCGAGAAGACAAATGCCTGTCCATACCCCTGAACTGTCCCTGGCATCATTGGATACTTCTGTTTTTCCTCTAAAGGTAACATAAAGAAATCCTTGGCTACCTTTTCTATCCCCTCAAGCAGGCTCAGATCAATCTCATGGTTCACCACCTGAAAAATAACATCAAAGAGTAGCTTCCATTACTATTTTTAAAACAAAGTAAATAATACTAGGATAAGTGCATTTCATACCTGAAAAAATCCCCACTCTTCGCAGGCGGTTCTCAGTTTAGAAATTTCATCATGCTGTTCATCTCTGTTGTTGCCATTTATGAGCTTAGAGAAGTTGACAACAGGAATGTTGCTTGGTGATGACAGAATTGAAGCAAGCTCAGGCCTCTCCGCCTTGTCACGAATAAATCTTTCTGGAATTGTGGTTGGTTTTACCTTTCTCAGTTCCTGGACATCATCAATATGCCCAACCTTGATAGGAGAGATCGGCACTGGAGCCATGGAAACCACTTGCAAGTGCCAAATAAACTGATATATGGTGACAAGTTTTACTTGGGAGCTCTCTTCAGGGGGGACCTCTATTTATAGATGGAGAAACTAAAACAGTTTTCATTATTACTGGAGTGTTACTCTGTTTGGGGCCAGTAATAAGGCTAAACCTCCTATAATCCTATTTACCCTCCACTGTATATATATTTTTTATAATCAACACTTAAAGAATTTTTGCTCAAAAAATTTAAAAATTAACTGTTGAACCCTTATTTACATTGATTTTATTAATAATTTAAGATTTTTTTATGAGTTTTAAATTAGAAGGATGTTAATTAAAAAAAATTTGTGAAAGGTGTTAATAGTAAAAAAAGATAACGTGTAAGGGTATAAATAAGTAGTTTGGCTCCGTACTAACACATTATCTTTAAATTGATATTTCCAGAAGATTTACTTGGTTGTGGGCAAAACCTCACATATTGTCCTTCAATTTTTGTGGTGTGTGAAACGCTACCTTTCAACTTATAATGTGTGATTTTATATTTTTTTAGTATTTAAAATGTGAAATTTTACTTTTTACTTTATAACTTTAAAAAAGTATAAAACCATAAACTCAAATACCATAAAAATACAAAATAATAAATTTAAATATCAAAAAAATATAAAATCACATATTTAAAAGAAAAAAAAAAAGTTCAACGAACCAAAAAAGTTGAAAAGCAATTCGTGAGTTTTTGCCCTTAGCTGTGTCAGCATCTCTGGGCAGTGGAGAAAATGCATGTCAAATTATGAGTGGTTTCAGTTTTGAAGGACATGGAATGGAATCCAGTAGTGGATGCTTGCTCATTTTGATTGATTTTTTATGGCAGGCTGCTGAGTGGTGGCAGTACTTGTAGAAGCAGTCGTACTGGCGGGGGCCATTCTCCAATTGTGCTGCAGTGAAAAGTGTCTACCATTTCTGCAGACTAGGCCTAGTGATATTGCTGTCATTCATTTACCCTTTCTTCCATTCGTCTATGCTCTCTCTGGTTTTGGCACCAAGGTCATCTGCTGCTTAAGTTTTACTTTGGGTGTTTAAAAGATTCTTAACAGTAACACAGATTACTTGGTGAAAGTAGTTAAAGGTACTGTAAGTCTATAATACTCGAAACTCAAAAGTATAAAAAGTTGAGGGATTTGTTGGTTTTACCAATCTTCTTCATTTTAAAGTTATATAATGAAGAATAACTTGTTTATTAGTTTTATTTTTTAAGGTAAATGAATATGGTATTCAAAGAATAATTATTTTCACTCGATCCTTAAAAAAATGAAAATATGCAAAAAAATAAAAATTGCTTAATAGTTGTCTTAATTATTATTTTTTGTTTATTTTTTTATATATCTAATTTAATTTTTTAATTTTTAAGATATAAATTTTAAATAAAAATTTAATAATTTACATAAATAACAATTGAAATTTCTTTTGATTAAATAAAAATACTTAACAAGAATTATATATAGGGAAAAAAATTTAATTATTATTTTTTATATATTATTACATTTTCATTTAAAATTTATATTCTAAATGTTAAAATATGAAATAAGATTTATTTAAAATGTACTAATGAAGTAAGATTTTAATATGTTCTTATATTATCAATTGATTTCCAACTAAAAACACTAATATAGTGTTTACATCATAAATTGCAAAATTTTATATTAATGCCACGTGTAAAATTTTTATTGGCTAGAGGAGTTTTGAGCCATGTCATATTCGGATCCTAGGCCCCATTACAGATCAGCACGTGAGTTGGCAAGATAAGAGAGGTAAAGATAATGTTGAGTAATTATCTTTTGAAACAGAAAGAGATAATGGCAGTTGGCAAGATAGGGGAGGATCACATTTAAAAAGGAGATTTTATCTGATAAAGTCCAGGTGGCAAAATCTGAAAGGGGTTTTTAGACTAGGTCAAAAGGTGAGGTGTCCCACTACTCCAACAAACTACCTATGATTGAGTAACTGCCGGCACAAAGAGGAACAAAAAGGGAACTTCGGCACAAAGAGGAGACACGGCCAGCCCTACTCAAACAACTGCAACTTTTCATACTTTGATTTTCTCTGCACATGCTTCCAGATTTCGGTTTTCAGCACAGATTTCGTATTTCAGCACAGATTCCATTAGAATTAGGTTGTTTTTCCTCATTCCAGTAGACAAATTTGTTCCTATATTCAGTTAAAACAATTTCCTTTCATGCAATGAACTTCAATCCTTCAAGTTTATGCAAGGTATTGTTTTCTTTTCATTTGTAAATAATTTAATGTTTATGTTAAGTAGCATTGCTTCAATGATTACTTATGTGGCTTTCATGCTTCTTTCCAATTTCAAGTTTCTTCAATTTATTCACTGTTCACGCTATTTATTCACTGTTCACATTTAATTTCAGTGCTAATTAGGTTTAAGTTTCCAGATCTGCAGCAGTTTAATTTCCGAATCTGTCAATAGATTGCACTTTTAATTTTACCATAAGCATGTTTAATTTAATTTGGGAACATTTCTTTCTCGTAAGTTTATTTTAAATTGCAAGTAATTTAGAATAATTAGGATTTGTTAATTGTAAGTCACAGTAGTGTTTAAGTCCTTGGAGTTGTCCAAGGCAGATTTCGTAACCTATTCTGCAAGAAGGTATCCCTCCCTCTTGCAAATCGTCTGAAGGCGCAAATTTCATTTTAATCCAACGTTCTTCCCACCATCTGCGAAGAGGTCGACCGTGAGGAAGGAGAGGGTCGTTGGGAAAGTCCTCCTTTCTTACTTTCAGCAAAGTAAGTGGCACGCCCGCATCAGATTTCACACGTGCGAGGCCACTAGAGGATTTTTGAGGAAACATATAGCCTTCTATTTTTCTTTACATAAAGGAAAAAGGGGAAAGGTAAGAATGATAAAACTTCATAAAAATTTTAAACCAACGTTAATTATTCTATTTGGGGGCAAAAACAAGGCAAAATACCCAAATCCACCCCTAAAGTATAGTGGCAGGGACGGATCCACCCTCGAACAAAAAACGGGGACAAATCCACTCACAAAGTTTTCGACTTGGACAAATCACCCCAAATTTAACGTGTGACATCATTTGACATCAGCAATCTGTTAATTTGACGTCATCTGACGTCAGTAATCCGTTAACGAATTAACGAATTGCTGATGTCAAATGACGTCATACGTTAAATTTGGAGTGATTTATCCAAGTCGAAAACTTTGTGGGTGGATTTGTCCCCGTTTTTTGTTCGATGGTGGATCCGTCCCTGCCACTATACTTTGGGGGTGGATTTGGGTATTTTGCCCAAAAACAAAACGTAAGTTACACCATTTATAAATCAAAAGATTTCATGTTTTTTAAATCAAATTACACAACAAATATGTTATTTAGATATTAAAATTACTAAAATACTAATAAACTTACATTAAAAAAAAAGTTTGATTAAATATATTTTATTAAATTCATAACTCAAACTGTAATTTTATTATTCAACTCAACTTCAGAAACATCTTCTTGAATTCAAAATTCCCACATCTTATTAATACAAGTTTCTTAAGACCCATTTCCCATTTACCCTTGACCCTACTCAAAGGAGTCCAATAAGAACAAGAGATGATTAAGCCAACGAACCAAAATCTCCTTCTAGCCCTCGCCTCCACCAATCCGTGCCTTTCCCGCCAAATCAAACGGTCATATTTTCATACCAAGGCTGATTTCATCCAACACCTCCGACGCTGCAACCACTTCCTTTCTTCAACCTCAGCACATGCATTCCTCCTGAAATCCGGACTCTTAACCGACACTGTCACAACTAATCACCTCATCAATTCGTACGTCAGGCTGTCGAGAATCGAAGATGCCCAGCAGTTGTTCGATGAAATGACTGAACCAAATGTTGTTTCATATACTTCACTCATGGTGGGTTATGTCAACTTGGGTCAACCCCAGAATGCTCTGTGTCTCTTTAGAGAGATGGGAAGAAGATGGGTTATGCCAAATGAGTTTACTTTTGCCACTCTAGTCAATGCGTGTTCGATTCTTGCAGATCTTAGAATTGGCAGAAAGATCCATGCCCATGTGGAGATTCTGGGTTTTCAACGCGACCTTGTGGTGTGCTCTTCACTTGTTGACATGTATGGGAAATGCAATGACATTGATGCTGCTCGCCTGGTTTTTGATTCCATGCCCATGGATTGTAGAAATGTTGTTTCTTGGACTTCAATGATAGCAGCGTGTGCACAGAATGCAAGAGGGAATGAAGCGCTTCAAGTTTTCAGAGAATTCAACTGGTTCATATCTGATTATCCTAATGAGTTCATGTTGGCTAGTGTTGTTAATGCTTGTGCAAGTCTGGGGAGGCTTAATTCAGGGAAAACCACACATGGAGCTGCGATTCGTCATGGCCATGATTGGAATGATATAGTTGCCACTGCCTTGGTAGACATGTATGCCAAATGTGGATTTATTACTTACTCCAATAAGGTTTTTCAGAGAATTTCAACTCCTTCAGTGATCTCTTACACTTCCATGATTGTGGCTGCTGCAAAATATGGGCTCGGGAAAATATCTCTGGAACTGTTTGATGAAATGCTTAGCAGAAGAATAAGGCCCAATGATGTCACCTTTGTGGGCGTTTTGCATGCTTGCAGCCACTCAGGACTTGTGGAAGAAGGCCTTGAACACTTGAACTCTATGCAGAGCAAACATGGGGTTGTGCCAGATGCAAAGCATTACGTTTGTGTTGTCGATATGCTTGGTCGAACTGGTCGTCTCGATGAAGCTTACCGGTTGGCAAGATCTATTGAGGTAGGCATTGATGAAGGTGCCATCTTGTGGGGCACGCTACTCTCCGCTAGTAGACTCGAAGGACGAGTAGATATTGCTGTTGAAGCGGGTAAGAGGCTACTCAAATCCAATCAACAGGTATCAGGCGCATATGTTACCTTGTCCAACACTTATGCATTGGCCGGAGAATGGGAGACTGCACATAGTCTCCGGTCTGAAATGAAGCATAGCGGAGTATCCAAGGAACCTGGCTGCAGTTGGGTTGAGATAAAGGATTCAACTTATGTGTTCTATGCTGGAAACACATCATGTGAAAGAGGGAGTGAGGTATTTAACCTGTTGAAAGAGTTAGAAGGGAAAATGAGAGAAAAGGGTTACACCGGAGGGACTACACGGCTGGCCTACATCGACATAGAAGAGGAGGCTAAGAGGGAAAGATTAGGTCTGCACAGCGAGAAACTTGCCTTGGCTTTTGGGTTACTAAGCATCCCCAGTGGAGTAACCATCAGGATAATGAAGAACCTGAGAATGTGCTGGGACTGTCACGAAGCATTCAAGCTGATCAGTGAGATCACAAAGAGGGATTTTGTGGTGAGGGATTTGAATAGATTTCATCATTTTAAAAGTGGGTCTTGCACATGTAAAGACTTCTGGTGAGGTTAATCGTATCTAATTTTTATCAAACAAAAGATTGTTAACATAATGGGAAAAAAAATGTATCATAATAAAAAAATCCTTGTATAACTAATATAACTAACATAGATGGTGGCGCAAGAAAGCAGATTGTTCAACACTGGCAAATCTCGCATACCATCGGCCTAGAACTGAGATTCTGTCCTGTCAAGTAAACCACACGTCTGAGCGCAAAATCAGAGATCCCCACCAGAGCAGGATATACATATTTTCAGTAGCTTCCAGAGAGTGGCTAAAAATCATAGAAGAGTTAACTATAGAAAACCAGATATCTTGGTTCCCCAGCACGTGCAGTTATTTACACCTGTGCTGTTATTCACATTTCTTGATATTACCAACAAGAGTTTGGCCAAAATGGTGCACATTAACTTCTACAAACTTAATCCTGAAGTCAAGGTTAGGATTTAAACATTTACAATGTTAAGCAAACTTACAAAATTTTCCAGTCCAATAATAATAATAATGTTGAACCACATCCCTAACAAGCAGAAAAATTGAATAAGTGGGCAAAACTATCAAGACTCGTGTATCCATGCAAGCATGTCTACACGTCTTGTGATTGAAGAAATGTGAATATTTCTGCAGAATCCATTCCACCATAAATCCAATGCAATCTTTGCTCATGAGCTGCAAGCTTTTCTATCTAAACTTCAACATTTAAAAAACTTAAAAAGTTTTTCAATGCCGATAAGCACACATCTGAAAGAGCATGCAACAACAAATGTCAATAATCATCTCCCAAGCACCACTTTCTTTCCTAGCAAGCCACTGTTGGTTACATCTGATGTTAGTTGCCACTCCAAAATCTTGGAGAAAAAAAATATGAGCTAACAATTTCTTTTTCTCTCATACAAGTGGAAACCAGATATCCACTTTAAGTTGAGTTAGCAGAAATAACTAACTAAAACATGAGACTATGAGAGTCTCATTAGTCAATTCTCAGAGAAAGCAGGAAAAAGCCTGGCTCAAATATCTTAATCTTTTTATTCATCCCGATCTACTACATATCAGATTAGAGAAAATGAGAACAAAGACCTGCATCCTGACAAAAGGTAGTAAGATAAACTGAATGAGGTCAAAGTCAATGAAATCCGTCCATAGATGAGATAATACTTCCCAGTCATCCATATTTAAAAAACGGTAACAATATCAAAGAACATGGCTACTGCTGATAAAGAAAATAACCAAGACAACTAATTACTTGTGGTGAGAATGATAAAGAACTTTACAAACCTTGGTGAAGCAAAATGACTCAGAGACATAAGATTTTCCAAATTGTGTTTACATCTTGCACAGCATTTGCAATCATCTTAACTTGTCTCGGTCATTGACAAAAAAGGGTAACCTGAGTCCAGAATCCAACTGAAACAAAAAGATGCTCTGTTGGAACAACCTAAACAAGTAAGGAAGAAAAAGGAACAATGAGATAAAAACTCAATTAGGAGTTTCATGCTAATTTTCCAGGAGACAGTACAATAAATTACATACCTGATGAAACAAAATGCTTCTACAAGTGGAGACCTGAAGATAAAAAATGCTTCCACAAGGGGAGACGTTCAAACATTTGACAAAAGCTAACTCAAGCTTGAAAATTCAAGAATCATGCAACGTACCATTCCCAAAGAAAATGAATTTCTATTCCAATAAAATTTTCAATAAAATGTAAAGAAAACAGAAAGCCCTTGAAGGATAAATTAATCAGTAGTCCACTATATCAGCATTCAACCTTCTCAAAATGGTTGCCTAATGATTTCTAATCTCTATAACATTTTTTCCTCAGGCCCCAAAACAATGGAGCCAAAAAATGAAATGGACTAATTTCTTACAAAGAACTTCAAATCTCTTGCCGAACAAGCTAGAACTCTATCCATCTATTGCCAACCCCAAAACTTAAGGAGCAGTTTTGGCCCCTAACAATATCTGAATAAGGTGAATATTCAAAATATACATTACAAAACTTGCAAATGAATCTCATTTTGTACACATGTACATAGAGGTGAGGTACTGCTGGTGAACCCCCTTGTGATTCCCATTCCCATTTCTTCTCCCATATGCTACAGGTGATCTTAACCAGAAAACAGAATATAATACAGGATGGCTTAGTCTCTAGCACCACCTTATCCCAGAACGTCGTATGGCCTCTTTAGCAAGCTGAACCAAACATATCAGTCCCTCTACATCTTGGAAGCTGAAATCAATCACCTTTCTAACTGAAGTAATACACTCTACTTTTTGAGCCTCTTCCAAGGTTAACTTAGCAGCTCCAAAAGCATTCTGGGATTTTGTTGAGGCCTCCATTGCAAAATTTACATCCTGCATCTGCAGTAGACATGTATTAATACATTTTCCCTCTTGAAACAACTCATCTGTAAACAGACTATGGATAGAGGATATACCAAGATAATGAGAGTTTAAAACTCAAAGATAATCACCATGCTCATATGCAAGCAAGCCATTAACTAAATCTAGACTCTAGAGTATGGCATTACTTTGAGCACGATCTGTGGACAAGCTTGAAGTCTAAGTTTTCATTTTTCAAACAGCTGCTCCAATTTAAAAGTTCATTTCCTAATCCAAATACAAACTGTAACAGGCAGTATTTAAGAAAGAAAACTAAGACAGCCACCACAAGTCCATAGAAAACCAGGCCACAAACTTCACCCAACATTAAGAATGATTTAAGAGTTATGTGTAACAACCCACAATAGCAAAGGAACTCAAGTCTACAGTCAACCAGACAGGCATGAGTACATACATATATATAGGCATACATATGAAGATGTGCTTGCATGATGCATCTAGTTAGGTGTGCGTTATTAAACCAAAGCACATTTTACAGGACAGTAACAGTATCCAAAAATAGAAGATACTCAGCATAAATCCAACAGCTAAGCTGCTAAAGAAAAAACATAAAATCTGATAGGAACTAGGAAAGAAAAAAGACATAAATAAAATTGTGACCACCAGATTGAACTAACTTACAAAATCAAGCAGACGAACAAAGCCTGGGCGGTTTCTAGCAACAACAATGGGGATTCCAGAAACATGTGAAACGGTACCCTTGGATAATGTGGCCTTTTCTGCTGTTGCTTGATTATTTAAATTATCAACATCTGATGCAGAGGATGAAGGAGATTCACCTAAGAAACAATTCAAAAAGATGGTCTCAGGTACTTCTTATTGGTGCATTGCAACAAGACTACAAGGGACTACTCAATCAATTGACAGAGAAGATTCTACTTAAAATGCTTTCTTAATGAAAAATACTTTAAAAAAATCCTGCTACCATGAGAAACCTAAAACAGCTTAATCAGGTATGAGAAACCTAGACGCATCTGATGAAGGCAAAAAAGGAGTTAGATATAACATTCATTAGGGAAAATAAAAACAACAAAGTTATGTCAAGCAATTCAAAATTGCAACCAATGCTCAAAATAGACAAGGATAAGCATACAACCATGTGGTGACTTCATAATATTACCTTGAGGAACCATTGATACAGTTGCTTGCAACTCATTCCTGTCCTGGTTGCTAGTAGAATGTTTGCAGAAAACTATCCTCATATATGCCACTTCCATGCATTTATAGGCCAAAGCAGCAGCAGCCATTTCTTTGTGTTTTTCATATTCTTGGCCACATCTCCTGTAAACTTGAGAAGTTTAGTATAAAGAGAATTGTAGAAGTACAATGATGCAAAATTAAGCTTAAACAAATTATGTAGCAGAAAGAAGCAGACAGCATGATGCTCAACAATAGCCAAACACTAAAAAATTCACAAGTCACAAGAATATGTAAATTACAGAAACAAGACAAGGTACCAACTTTCTACTGAAATGATAGAAGTCTTTGCCTACAAGTGAAGGAGAGCAGCTTGCTCAAAGTCTCGAAATCAGCTTGTCATCCAAAATGATAAAGGATAGGGAAAAAGTAGAAGTTAAGTTTTCTAATACTATATATTAAACATAAATTTTTGTTTTGGATGAATTATATTAACTGCAAAAAAAAAAAAAAAAAAAAAAAAGGTTTGAGGATTGACTCCAAACTATATTTCCACTTTCCAGCCATCAAATGCATCACCAATCACTCAAATTAACACTTTAACAGAACTGAAAAGGAAGATATAGAGGTTGCCAAATTACATAACAACCACCAACTTAAATGATAATAGGGTGCAAAACAGCAAGCAAATGATGCAGTTACCATGCCAGTCTATACATGGAGCATATTATTCTAGGTAAGCTCACAATACAGGAGATTCTACACTGTATGATGATATAAATCTGCATAGACCTCTAACAAAAAGGAACTAAAAGTTCGCCAAGACATATTAAAAGAGTGTATGACACAACAAATAAACCAAATACTAAATTACAGATTTTGAGCACTTAAAAGGTACAGCAGTTGGGATATATAGTTATATACATTCATCTTAAAAGACCAATTAGCATTGAGGTTAGACACACAGGTTGGTTGATTAGATTTGTTCAGAAAATCAGGTCCATATTTTGGTTCAGTTACATATCAAATCCTGCACAAAAGCAATAATTCAGGTGGTTGAGATTACCTTCTCCATGAGCAACTACATAGCAACAGGTTGATTCAAATGCAATTAAAGTTTTAGTAGTTAATAATGTAGATTGGAATAAATTTATCATCTCAACTAAGTTATGAGAAACAAAAGTCTTCTGAACAACTTTGAAACCTTTACTTACTCGCAAAGTCTAGCAGCTGTGGTATATGCTTGCATTTGATTTATCTCCCCATTTCTGCCACTCTCACTATTGCTAGTCTCCAGAAGTGAAGCTCCGTGAAGAAACTTAAGCGCAGCTTGGAAGAACATCTCATTACTTTCAAAACCAAAACTAGAGGTCTGAAAGAAGGCCAATGAAACCACTGCCAGTGTAAGGACTAAAATTTCTTTTTCAAATTTTTATAAATCATCAAAGGAAATGTAAAAAGTAACCTTGAGACGGTCAGCATAGAGTTTCAGATCTTTTGCCTCTTTAAGGGCACCAGTTGCCGTCAGGCCAGAAGAATTCATTCTCCCTGGACTTGGCACATGAGTGCTTCTCAGGACATGCAAATTAAGCAAGTTCTGTTCCACACTCTGGTCAGCTCGACCATTGTTACCAGCATTTGCAGGCTGTTTTAATAACACCCTGGGTGACTCACTGCTACTTGGAAAGCCATCAAAGGCAACTACCTGCCGAGCCTCTAGGAATGTTCCATGATCCTCTGTTTCTTGCTTAGTTTCAATTTCACAATGTGAGAAAGATTTTGGCACTCCACTTCTTGACTCTACTTGTTTTGCTTTGCTTTCACCACCAAAATCCTGGACAACATTTTTCTGAGGAAAAATCTTCTGATTTGTGCTGCATATAGCAGCTGACTTTGCATCCAATTCATCACATTCTTTTTCTCTTGATTGGTTTTCCATTCTGTGATCACCTGACCATCTCCCTAAAGAATTCTTCACAACTTTGCTGTTCTTCCCAGCCTTGCTAGGTTTAGTGCTAGAATCATCAATTATATTGCATTTATTTTCACTCACCACACCAGGCTGCAGTGAATGATCCTTGAGGTCAGTATCTGATCGAGATCCTGTGCTCTTCTTGGAATGCAAACCTTCCTGTTCAGTGATCATACCATACACCATCTTATCTGACAATGAACTTTGTTTATTGTCCTTTGGCTTTGAAGAAGAATCCCCACCATATCCCTGGGGAAACAAAGCATTGTGATTGTTGTTCTTGTTGACTCTATCCTTCTCATGATCGGAATGCTCAGGAGTATGCTGATCCCTAAGGCCTACCACATTTTCTTTGGCATAAACATCACCATTAGTTAAACTACCATTTCCAAATCCAGAATAAGGCCTAGTTTTGATGCCAATGGTGCGATTAGCATCTCCATCCCAGAAATCCAGTTTTGAAAATTTATGAGAAACTTTCTCCCCCTTTTCCATCCCAGTCTGACCAAGATTACCAGCACCTTCCCCATCCCAACTTCTTTTACCATTGCCTCTTCCAGGAACATCACCATCCATAGTGTCATCTTTCCCTGAAGTATCTCCTGCTGATGTAAGCTTTACAGGATACAAGTTCCTCATGGGAGATGATGACACTGATTCCACGGGGGAACCCTTTGGTGCTTCAAAGTTTACCCTGGTTTTATGAGAACCTGAAACCTTTGATGAGCTAGAAGTGGCTGCGATGGGAACTTGTTGAGTAACAGAATGCCTTCTTGATGAATTTAAGCCATCTAAATTGTTTTGAGAAGCATCCTTTCTTTTAGGTTTTGATATATGCTGTGTGTTATCGACACCCCTAACTTCTTCTGCAACATCAACTGAATCATCTAAAAATTTTCTATTCGACAAATCATTGGCATTATGTCTATGAGACTGCTTCATCTCATTCTTTGAAACCTGAGACCTTTTTTCTTTTCGAGACCCACACTCACTATTTTCCTCCTCCACATAAAACTCATGCCCATTCTGACTTTCTTGCCTGTCCTTCAATTTCCTTTTCTTCCCCATATTATCTGTTCTATCAAGGATTCTTGCATCTAAACCATCTGCTAAAGCCTGAGTCTGGTTTGCAAGTTTCTTAACAGAAGCTACAGGTCTTTCCTTCACTTCACACCTTACATCCTGAGAATTAGAGCACTCATCATACTTCTGTCTTCCTTTTTCACTTTCCTGTGTTGGTAGCCCAGAACCCACCCTCTTCAGGTCAGAGTTAGAATTTTGACGTTTATCTGTAGAGTACTTATCTTCTTTGTTTCTTTTCTTTGGACCTTCAAATGCATAATGGTCAAGTTCCCTCTTGCTTTTCATCTTTGTTTGCTTGGGGAGACCTACAGAAACATAAAGAGGGGAAAAAAAACTTAAATAATTCCATGTTATGAATACAGCCAGGTCGAGTTTTGATTCTAATTCTTAGAAATGCACTCAATTTAATACCTTCAACCCTATGTTTTTCTTTCGGTTGAAAACTGAATTTCTTCATGACATTTGATTCCATAGGTAACTGCGTCATCTCATTTAAGCTTCTGCTTTTAGCAGATTCCTGAAGTTGGCTTTTAGTGGAATTTGACCTCTGGGTCAGACCATGGATGCCATCAGCTTTTGGAATTGCCTTCAAACTGTGTTCCTTCTTTGCTTGAAGAGACAGAGAAGTAAAACCAAAGTTGTTAAGATCCTGATCCTGAAGATAAGCTGTAGGTAGTGACAGAGTTCCATTTCCATTATTTTGCAGATTACTCTGAGAAAAAGGGATCTGGTAATATGCATTAAGAGCTTGTGTTGTCTCCTCCTCGCTAAAATTGCAACTGTTCATTCCAGGCCTATAAAACAATTTCAAAAGCATGACAGTCAGCAAGGAAGGGTAAACAGACCTTTTTCACACAACACCTGGCCCGAAAATGTAAATGTATTATTCTCACTAAATTTTAATTACTGTTTTATATATTGTTATTAATTTTAATTAATAATTTATATGTTTTTAGAATAAAAGACAGAAAAACCTGCAACCATGGCCCAGCCCAGTACAGCACTCCCAAACTAAGCCTAAAGGCATACAACTGTCAGTGTAGCCAGTATCTATCAACATAAGCACAAACTTTATCATACAAATATGCATATGCAGGTGCACATACCCTTGAGAAGGAAAGAATTGATAAACAAAGAAACACAATTATGTAGCAGGAACATTATTAGAAGTTCAGCTGAAGTTTCGGCTGAGACTTGTGTATCTTATACCCATAAGAAACCAAATTTTGACTAAAAAAACTTACAGCCAATCAAGCATGCTACACAACCACTTGTCAGGGAGTTGATCTGTTGTTCTACCATGGGGTAACAGCCGCCACTTTTGACAACTGTCACAACAGACCCAATCGTCTTTGTCAACTGCAGGAGCCACAGGTGGTGGTGCACCCTCAAAGGCAAGTACATTTTTTGCAACACAAACCACAGATGAAGCATCGTTTGCACACGCTCCAAATAGCTGGTTGTCAACTTTTGGACCAAAAAATGTTTCCTTTTGATTCTTCCCATATGTACCCTGTTGTGTCTCAAAATCAATGATAGTAGCAACCTTTGGCCTATTGCCAAACTGTCTCCCTGGTAGATCCATTAGGTTACCTTTCTGTTCACAATTTGTATCCAATGAATCTCTATGATTATTTCTAACCTTATTAATATCTTTCTTCAACTTCAACTTATGCATCTTATTTTTACTGGACAAGACACCATGACTAATAGTTGTTTTATCCATTGTTGAAATAGCAGCCTTTCCAGTACTTTGGCTACTCTTTGATTTGTTGCCCTTAGACAATGGCTTCTCTTTGTCAAAGGGCATATTTATTTGGTCTCGCATAAGAAATGATTTCACACTAATCTTTTTTCTCTTATCTTCCTTACATTTTGAAGGGGCAGAACTTTTATTAGCTCTACCCCTGTCACTGCCCCCAAGGTCAGCAGATTCATCCTTATTTGAATTTTCAACACACTGTTCCAACTCCTTTTCACTTGAACAACTCTGAAAATTCCACTTTTTGCTATTATTGCTATTTCCACCAGCAATTGACTCCAAAGAGTCTGGCTTTGCTAAGTTAGAGCAAAATAATTCATCACTTATCCCAACATTGCTAGTCTCCATGGTGACTTCAGATGTTCTTGCAGTGGGTTCCACAGGGTCAGCAACATTCAAGTCATTAGCCAACACCCCCTTGACTCCTCTGATCTCATTTTTTGCCTTTTTATTTAAAAGCAACATCTTGTCATCCACAACATTCACACCATTGTTGTGCTTTGGCTCCAACAGCTTTTCAATTTTTTCAATAAATTTTGCTTTCTTCTCAGCTAATGGTTTTCCCTTAGTCAAGACAGGCTCATTCAATAAGCACGCAGAAAGTTCTTGACCATCATTAAGAGAAGGCATAGGTTCTGTGCCTTTGCAAGGTCTTTCTTTTTCCTTTCTAAACAAGCAAAGCAAACTTTCATGAAGAGGGGAAACAAGTTCACCACTGGGAACTTGGAAGGAAGTCATGACCTGTTCAATCACATAATATTACCAGATCCTTCTTAATTCATATACTGACTCTAGAGACCAGAATCCAACAGGAACAAAGAGAAAACATCTACCTGAAGAATGCTTGCTGGTGATTCATTCATACTCTCTTGAGAAATGCCTAGCATTGCTCTGCTTTCTTCTGGACTGTTTCCCAATGATGAAGATGGAGAGTCATCAAGACCAAGCCCACTATAAATTTCTGCATTTTTTTTAGATTTAGTATCAGAAACTTTGATTCTGAACTTCAGTAAGTTCTGTTCAGCTGGAATCTTTGATCTGTTCAAAGTTTTCTCCTTTAGGGTAGACTTATCAGTAGCATGAACAAAAGACAAACATGAATCTTGCTTGACTGAAACACTACAGGAATCATTTCCGTTCCTCCAAGTCAAAGATGCATCAGGAAGAGCTTTATAATTCTGGGAGGCACCCTGTATGGTAACACAACCAACAAAACTCAAGTAAACTAGAGGTCCTGAGCTGATGAAGTGTCAGTGGCATCTTGTTCCAAAGAAACAATCTAACAACAAGAAGCAAATTTCAATATACCTCCAAAGGTAGGTTGTTAGGTGACCTTGGCGTGCTAAAGTTTTTCTCTAGTGTCTTTGAATGTGACAGTCTTGAAGGAGAGCATTCATAGGCTGGCAAAAATGAACCATACCCACCAAATTTTGCACCTTAAAAAATGAAAAAAAAATCAGAGTCCATCCCATCAATTTTCATGTAAGAAAGATGAGCTGGCAATATTATTTGAAACTAACAACTTCCATGTGACCTACCCAAATTTTCGGCAGAAACCCCGCCTTCAAAATCTTTTTGAAAATGGCCCAATATGGTCTGAAGCTTCTCATCCTTCATGAGAGAATATAAAAGTTTACAAATGACATAACATATGTAAATTTATGAGAAATAACATTGGTTAAAACTGAATATCAGGTAGAGGTAAAACTATAACAGGCATCAGGAGACTGGCCCTCTGAGTATTCAGAAGTCCTTTCGTAAGGGCTCAATATTCTGGCATATTGTTCTTATGTACAGAAGCATATAGATTAAAAGAACTAACAAAATATTCAAACTTAATAATATTCAAAAGAAACCATCTTGAACCTCAAAAGTTAGATGAGTTTTAAAAGAATTACGCTGAGGAAATTCAACTTATGGGTCAAATTGTTTCAAGGAGAAAACACATACCATACATAATAGGCCATGTTAAACCTAATTCTAAAAGAAATTGTGAACATGAAATTTCTATAATTTACCTTGATTTCCCAGACAATGTACTACAAATTGCTAGAAGAAAACCTAACCAGCTACAGAACTATATCGTCTATCCCACAAATGATGAAAGAAAACTTTGAGGTAAGGCATCTTCACTTCACCAATTCTTTTAGTCATCAAGTTATCTTCACCAATAAGATTTAACTAAAAAGGCCAAGCTGCCTACTGTGTTACTAGAGGGAACAAAACCAGCATATACCTTAAACATACTTAACATGCAATGAAAAACCATCCAGCTATCTTCCAAACTTATTGCTTGACTACGCACAAGAGTTTTAAAATATTTATACCTCAACTAGAAAAGAAAAGAAATTACTCTTCAGTCTGAACTTTAATTTCACTTTTTGACTAAATTCCAGGTTTTGAACAATTAATCTAAGTTAAGCCAGATATTCATGCGGAAATATGCCTAATAATAATTTTTTTCACCGACTTTGTATACAAAGGAAGATCTAGATCTCAAAAAATTGACTTCATTTGGCTTAATACAATTATATTCTGTGAACTCAACGGAAATATACAACAAAACTCCAATTTAACAGTGTCACATAAATACATTGTGAACAACAAATAATTGACCATCTTACTTTTTATTCTCGACAAAATTCAAAAATCAAACATAATTCCAACAAAATACCTAACTTCATTTACTCAAACACAATTTCAAGTAGCAGAAAAGAATGTCAAAGAGGAAAACAAAGCAGATTTAATTTTTTTTTTCGAAAGAAATAAGATATATGAACTCTTACAATGTAGGCAAGATCAATGTCAGGGTCAATGGTTTCATCATCATCTTTAGGATAGCAAGCCTCTCCTTCTTCAAGCCCAGAATTTTCTTCCATCTTCACGCCTCCAAACATCGCCCTCCTACCCACAACCCTAACTCCAAAACCCTAACCCCAGCTCCTCCAAGCACCCACTTTCCCGAGAATCAAACATTACAAAGAAAACAAAAAAGAAGAGAAAAATGGGAAAAAGAACCCACGAAAAAAACAAAAAAACCAACCAAAAAGCGCGAGGGAAGGCTTCCAAAACCTAAACGTAGTTCGATTCCCTCAAATCAAACACACTCGTTTTAAATCAATAAAAAAAAAACCCAATAAAATTAGTGGATTAATATTCAATTTCTCTCTCTCTCTTAATAAACTCACGATCGGGTTTCGGTGATCGGAGTGGTGGAGATCGACTAATCGACCAGCGCCGACTCGAGATTGACTCGGCCGCGTCGCGGTGGTGAGTTCGTGTGGTTTTTGTTCGGAATCGTTCAGTTCTTCTCGAAACAGCAGACAACGCTGTGCATTGTTTGTGGGTCGCTTTCAGTCGTTTAATTATTTATTAAGTTTTTTCCTTTTTCCTTTTTTTTTTTTCGCAAAATTTAATTTTACCTTTTCTTTTAAGAGTTTTATAGAATAACATTATA